ACGAGGATAAGTTGCAAACTTACGTGGAGGCCGATGAATGGATGTTTGACACGGTCGGACCCCTACTGTCCAAACTTGGAGTCGACAAGCTGGAGAGTGTTGATGAACTGCGGAGACAAGCTTCAGCTAACTGTTCGAAATCATCCGTGGAGAAATCGAGCAATCTGCCCACGTCAGCGGTACATGTGCTGTATCGGGATCTGGACAGTATCGTCAAAACCTGGGACGAAGCAAAATCCCAGGCAATGCTGCAAGATGATACTTCATCCACCTTCCAGGACATGAAAGCCATGGACAACTCTGGCTTGGCCATCTTCCTGGAGCATTCGAGAAAATCTGCTCGCAAACCCGGACTCAAGCCCAGCCTTACGGACGACAAGTTTTTGAGCAAATTCTTGAAGGGTGTCAATGACGAATGGCTGGACCTTCATGAAGTAGTCTTTGCCTGGCTCAAACTCCTTCTGATGCCGTTGTATGGGAAGTCGCCTGTGCGGAAGAACTCGCGCTCCAAAAAATGGCCAGTTATGGAGTCAGCGTACGTAGCCTTTCAGTGGCCAGACATGCTCAAGGAAAAAGTGGTCCAAGTATTGATAAGAGACGACGACTACATCTTCAGAAAAATGCTTGAACAGGCTGAGCAAACTGAACATCAAATACTCAACCATACGCCCGAAAAGCCATTCAAGTATACCCGTGAACATTTCGCTTACTTGGAGATGGCCCAGACAATATTCGAGATCCACCTCGACGTTTATGCCTCCATTAACAATCCCCACAGTGAGGTCGACCAGGATACAAGACTTCTGCAACGGGATCGTCTGATGAGATGGAGCATGCTTGCAAGGACAGCTTTGAGTCACTATCTGGATCATGGCCCATCAAAAAAGGATAGCCAGAATACCATTATTCTCCGCCATATATGGGCGTCGACTTTTCATTCCAATATGGAGCCAGATGTTCATCGTGAGCACATACTGCTATGTCTTCAAGAGTTGAAAGAAATTTTGCATCGCCTGAGTATTCCAGTGATCCATCTTATGAACAACGCAATGATGCCTGAGTTGTCAGCGGATGCGATCGACCAGGAAATCTCAAAATTGAACTCCATGGACTTCTTCATGAAGATTTTCACCCCTGGTTCGGAGGATCCTGTCGAACTCATCGAAACGATTGAGCCGATTATAGAACCCTCGTCCGTTGAAATTTCCGAGGACAGCGAGTCAAATGACCAGTCACTCTCACAGTCATTGGTACAGCTTAAGGAGATGCGCTCATTCTTGGACCGAGGAGATGCTATGTTAAAACTGTTCTTGTGGCAAAGACTTCGGGATGCCTATCAGGCGATCGACTATCCCCCTAAAGTAGTCTCGTGCTACCTTCGCAGTGTTGAGACGATAATTCACGAACTTCTTGGCAATTCCTATCTCGAAGAAAGTAACGAGCACCGAGAGATAACGCTGATTCGATGGCTCAAATCTCTTGACCGCATTCTAACCAAGCTGTTGACACTGGCGCTTCAGCAATCTGACACAGCGTACGAGTGTCTTGATATGGAACATCTGAGATCTTCCATGTCAGCCCTGACAATATTGACAAATCTTCTGCATAGCTTTGCTCTTTACGAAGACTCCGTTCGTGTCGGGCAAACACCATCTTCCTCAGTGCGTGGTTCGCTGTCTAAAACTTTGGGGAACTTCACGGAGAAGCTAAGGGAGATGGAGGTCCGCTGTTGGATCCTACAATACACGCTCCTTAAAGAAGCCATTGCCCAGAATGGGGATCTCTTCGAGTCTCCTCTCGAGGACCGTATTCTCTTCCTACGCTCTGTGCACAATGCTCTTGGCGTTCGTAAGATGTGCAAACGGTCGAACAAGCAGTTCCTCAAATTGATGAAGGCCGAATTCTTCAGCTTGGAGTCGAAGGAAGACTACGAGGCTGAAATCTGCCAGATTCTTTGGGATCTTTACGGCATCAACTTGTCTCCCTCGGGGATCTTCTTGTTTGAACACGAGTGTCCGCCAGAAAAGCTAGATCGCTCAACGGCTATCAAGATGATCGATTTTGTCTTGAAATTGGCGAAACGCATGAGTATCAAGGACTTGTCAAAGTCTGAGTTGAAATCCACAATTGAGAAGATACAGCAAGCCATTGGAACGACAAAATCGTCACCACCTCTCACATATAACAAGCGTATCCTGTCCGCTTACCTGAAGTCACCCATCAATCCAACTGAACTCTTCCGCGCAATTCGAGGTGTTGCGGATCTCCCGCTGATCCCAGTACCTACTGAGAGCGCGGTCATTGCCCGGAATGGATGGTATTTCCTGTTGGGCCACGCAGCCCTGACCAAGTTCCGCTCTCAGAAGCGCCTGAATCCGGTGCCGACTACCGATCTTGATGAAGCCATCAGCTTCTTCAGACAAGATCTAGAACATTGTACTGGAAGATGGGAGTCCTGGTACCGCCTTGCTCAGACCTATGACTCAAAGTTGGAGGAAGATATCACCTGGTCCGCGGACAAGATCAACAACAATCGAACTGAGCTGGTAACTTGGCAACGGAACGCTATCCACTGCTATGCAATGGCGGTTGCGACAGCAATTAGGAACGCCGAGCCGACTCCTGAAACCAGAGCGACTTTGTCTGAGCTCTACACTGATTTTGGTATTAGGCTCTACTCATCTTCCCGCGAGCCCCTTTCTATGGCCTCCTTCAGTCTCGCAGATTTTACCCGTCATTACAGTAATGAAGAAAGCCAGCGAATGTACCAAGGGAAACCCTTCAAGGAGATGAGGTCGTACTCCGTGTGGAACTTGGCAAGGTACCTTCTTAAGCGCGCAACCATTGACAAACCCAAGAGTTGGATGTAAGTACTCATCGGCTGTTCCTGGGCCAGCCCAGTTCTTACATTGAAGCAGGAATCACTACATGTTGAGCAAGTGTCTCTGGAAGATGTTCAGTTGTGACGATTCTGTGAGAGGAAATGCTCAGCGTATCAACGTTGATGATCTTTTGGATTCGCTACTTGATGCCATCGATACACTTCCCCAACGCAAGGATTCACGCTCGGATCCTATTTTTGAACCCCATTATAAACTGGTCTCAATCGTCCATAAGCTAGTCGATCGAGGCACACTCACGGTATGTGGTCTTTCCCATTTCTCATGACGTACAATCATGTTGACTATCTGTTCAGCCAGCTGAAGGAAGCCGAACTCTCATGGCCACCCCCTTGGCTCGTAAAGTTCAGCCCCCCGAAGACAAGGCCGGATGGAAGCCTTATATTCTGGAGGTACTCCGGCGCTTGAAGCATGCGGATAAATCGAATTGGCATCATCGCATGGCTTTTCGGGCCGCACACGTTACATACGACGACACCAAGGACGCTGTCTCAGCAGCAGCAGCCAAAAATGAACTTACGCAGCAGATCTTTACCAAGACTATGACTATTCAGGTCTGGAGGCCGGAGTTCGAGCGTCCTGGAAGACATTTCGTGTATACTACCCGATATGTATACTTCTTCGTTAGTCTGCTTGATCAACTCAATGACCGAGCCAATCTAGATCAGCTATTGCGTCGCGTGAGAAAGAAGCAAGGTGACTTCATCAACCACGCGAAGCTATGGGAGGATGTTTGCCTTACCTATGCAAAGGTCATTCGAAGAGCAGGCAGCATCAACGAGGGACACGAAGAGAATGTATTCAAACCAATCGGATGGGAAGAATTCGTCGCCAACACAGCCCGCCTGGAGAATCTTTCCCAGCTGGCACCGGGAAGCCAAGTTCTACTGGAACTGCTTCGCGACGCTATCGAACTGAAAAAGCTCAACAACAATCTCATGAAAGTCTCTTTGCTCGAAGACCTCATCGCCGACCTCTACTCCCGCCTCTACGAGATCAACATGCCCCAAGTCCTCGAGCAAGCCAACGAGGAAAACAAAGAGAAAATGAAAGTCGACCACCTGCTCATGACCAGCGACGGAGCTGCAGACACCCCAACACCTCCAAACTCGGCCCCTGCCTCAGAAGCGCCCGCGCCTCGAGGCCGCACCAAGGGCATCGCCCGAAGGGACGTCCAAAAGCGAGCCGAAACGATCGTCAACCGCAAGCTCACCCCGCGCGCCCCGGCCGCAAAGACATCGGTGCCTGCGGAATCCGAGCCACCGGCTGCATCTGAGCCTGCGGCGCCTTCTAGAAATCAACCTAGCAAGACTAGTTTCGAAACGGGTCAGCAGAGCGATATCCCACAGAGCATTCAAGATAGCGCCGACGATGAGAGCGAGCTCAGCGAGATTGATGACGAGAAGTTGTCGAAGCTCGCGTCGGAGCGCAAGCTGCTCTTCCCTAATCTACGGGATCGGATTTCGCCGGATCCTGATTCGGAGATGTCCGTCCCCGCCAGCGTTGATGGTGACGCGGCAGATGAGGTTGGGGATGGCGATGCTGACCTGGGCGAAGTTGAAGGGGGAGGCGAGACCACGGTAGAAGAAGGTGAAGGTGAAGAAGGAGAAGAGGGTGATGAAGCAGATCTTGAGCGTGATGAGAATGGTGGCGATGAGGATGGCCTAGAAGAAGGCGGAGGTAATGGGGAAGAAACAGAAGACGCGCAAGATATGGAAGACGAGGCAGAAGATCCCGAGGTCATCGAGGGTGATCCGGGAAAGGAGAATGCTTCCGAACCTGAGCCAATGGAGACATGAGCGCAGTATCTGCGGCAGCAAGATCGCTTACCTGGCTCAACTGTTATTATATGCAAGTGGTCTATTTGTTCTTATTGTGTGAAGTGAAGGGTGTTTGGGCGCATTGAATGAGTGAATGGCAAGTGGCGTTGGGGGATTATGTATGAAGCCATGTATTTTAGGCGAACATTAATAACTGATGATGGTATCTCAACTATTCCAGGATCAATCAACGCCCAGAACTCCTCCTATCATAGACCCAAGGTATTCCGCCCAAAAGACAAATTCGAACGAAGACCAGAACTTCAAAACCTGGTTGAAACTAGATATCTTCCTCAGGGGCAAGATCCCACTTTCTTGTTGCCATTTTTCTGTGCTTCTTGCCGGGGGATGAGCTTCCAGAAGTGGCAGGAGAGAACATGCTGTCAGCTAATTTCAGCTGGTCCATACGACGAAGCGCGCTCTCGATGTCACTTTCACGACCAAGGTGATTGGAACCATGTGAAGACTCCAGTACGTTCTTAGGTTTCGGCTTCTTGGTGGGTGAGCGGCCCATGAGTTCGCGTTCCAGGGCAGCAATTCTGCTTCGCAGCTGATCATTCTCCAGTTCCAGTTCTTCTACTCGCTGATCGGTAGCTGAGCCGGGATCCTCATAGACTGAGTGATAGATGTTAGCTGAGCTTGAGGCAATGTGATCGTGGGCGACGATCTTACCTTGGAATCCTCGAGACAACAAGTCAATCTTCTTATCAAGATGTTCATCATTGCGGCCAACCTGAGTGTATCAGCCACAGTCAAATACCAGCCCAAAAATTGAGTACGCACCTGTTCGTCAAACGCAGTCTGCCACCTCTTCCTCTCCTCTTCCATTCGCTCGTCCATGTCGGCCCAGCATTCCTCTCGCACCTCCTGTTCGATGAGAAGACACTTTTCCTCACTTGACTTKAGTCTCATCTCCAGGTCGGCTCTCATGATCTCCTCTTCTGCAAGTCGCACGGCCAAGGTCTCATTTTCAGAAGTTAGTCGTGCAATCTCGGTAGCTGCCTTTTCGAGCTCTTCGCTCAAGGCTAGGTTGGGCGAGTTGCGTCCACTGGCGGCTCCTTTGCAGGAGCCCAGCGTGCTGGACAGAATAGACTCGGTGACAGATGGCACTCGGGGAACGGTTACTTCGCGAGCCAAGGCGGAATAACGTAGGATCTGCGACGTCGCATTATAATCACCCAATGGATCAGCTGTAACGATCATGATCGCTTTCTGCGGGTGGCGGCTGAAACCAGGCATCTGATTTGAGGAGGGAAAGGAGTTCGAAAACAGCAACTCCGTCAGCTTGCACTGTCTGAAAGGTACCAGAGCAGTCTATTCCGAATCAGCGAGGAAAGAGACATCATGGGCATCATGAAACGCACCTTCCCTTCTTGGATTTCACTCTGCATCTGTAAACATTGTCCCAGATACATGAGACTCTCGTTGATTTTACCGGCTTCCGCCAGGGTAGATCCCGCCGTCTTTGCGGTTCTCGCCCGCTCAGAACCTACAAGCGCCTTGTTACAAACGAAGTGATAAACGGTTTTCTCAGTGACTTACCAGCAAGATCTGCAACAGTGAGCGTGTTTCCAATCCATGTTTCTTCTCCTGTCCTCTTATTTCTCATCCTCCTCTTAACTTCAAGGCAGAAGAATCCGTGGCTCCGGGAACTAACACTGTTAGCACTAGTCCCTGTCACTCTACGCTCGGTCATCCCGACTTCGAGGACTGCCAAAGCCTCTTCGTATGTGCTACAAGCAATCTTGCGGAGTCCGGCCACGACCTTTCTGTCAGGGGATCCTTCGGTCGACTTGTACAGAAGGGGTCTGCGGCGGTCTTTCTGGGCATTTGTCCCTTGGCGCGACATGGCGCTTCCTTGACCGGGTACGACAGCAGGCGAAAGTAAGTCGAAAATTCGATCGTTGTACACCTCATACATTGAAACTAGGACGATGTACTCGGAATTGTGATTAAGTTCGACGGTCAAGTGGCTAACATCCGGCAAACGAGGCAAAGCGCTGGGCTTCTGAGGCATATTGCGACGAGGAAAGATTAGGGCAGGAGTCGGTTCCTGAAGTATGTGAGAAGATTGTTTAGTATAATCGATTGGGTCCCTATCTGTGGCGGTGAATGAAGGTGCTTTGGGGGAACCTAGGATGATCCGGCCGATTCTTTCCTTGAAGAGAGCCGTTGGACCAGTACGGCAGGTGCGGCGCGGACCAGGGGAAACTCCTTTGAGGGGGGATTGAGGGGTTGAGGGGCCAATAGAGGGTTTGGGTGCGCGTCTCGGAATGGATGGACGTAATGTTTGAATTCCTGCCAACGGGCTCAAGGGAATGGGGTACCGTACCGTCATGGGTGTTTCGGCCCTAGACGAGCTCATTGGGGTTTGTGCTCGAGAGTTTCTTCCACGGTCGCCACTCCAATCGCCATATACCGCTTCGAGGAATGTCTGCGCTGTGAACAACTGGGCTTCCGAGGTATCTGATGCGGCTACTGAGGACAGGAGGACTGGGCTAATGGAGTTATCGGGTGGTTTGATTGTTGAATCTAGGGACCGGAAGATAACGTCGAAGCTCATCTGTGTAAGACCTCTCTGTGTCTTTGAGCCGAGGATAGTGTGACTCTGTACAGGAAAGCCATTAGTATCTTTCTTTCCAGCCGGTCACATACGGCCATTTATCGTCCGCACCTTTCCACTCCCTGTGACTCCCAGCGTGGCAACCAGCCCATCTCTGCCTTCAAGCAGTACACCTCTGACCAACGATTCCAGCCCAGTATCCTCAAAGACAGTCAATTGGGAAGCCGACTCGTCGAAAACCTTGGTGAAACCGAATTTCTCGACCGCACGCTTCCTGGCATCATTTGGTGGCTGTAGTATAATGTGTGTTGGAATAGGAGCCGAGGGCGCTCCGTCGCTCTCAGTATTATTGGTCCTCTCCTCTGGAGACTCGATCACGAGACAACGTTCAGCATAAGGATCCTGGTGCTGCGAAACGGGAGGGCGAAGTCGCAGATAGACCTGAAAAAGGGAGGCTTGTGAAGGTCTTGTTGTCGTACTCATGACGGCGATACCCTGTAGGTGCTGGTCGGACGCCTTTAAGTGAGATGAGGTCGAGGACCAAAGCAAAAGAGTGATGACTTGACGGCAGCAGCTCTGGATGGTTTCCACACTTGGAAGGCACGATACAGTTCTTTCCTAATCGGGTTAGTATTTGGTTGTCCAGACAACACATCCCAAAAGGGAAGTCACCCGCTGATGCCATCTTCTTCAGGCTGCCAGAAGATGACATCATCTCTGACCTGTCCCAGTCATCAATTTGTCAAACCAATTAAGAATACCTTATGAAGGTCAGTCTGTCCACCGCTTACACCCAAGGCTCGCGAATCGCGATGTCTTTGACCCTTCAGCCTTGGCTGGCTGCCCGTTGGTTCGAGGCTTGGCTTTACTCACAATCCTCGCCCCGCTCGTACTCGCCTAACTTCGAATCAGCATCGGGCTTGGTTGAAGCTAGGCAAATTGATACTAACCCAAATTGGCTGCTCGTATTCTACGCCATGGTCATAGTTCTTGGCAGCTAGTGATTGCTACTCTTGGGGGATGTTTTATTCGAGAAAAAGGTTATAAGCCACAAACCAGGGCGTCGGGCGAGACTGCGCCTCGACCCAGTTGAACTAGAAATGTCAGTTGCATGTAAATGCTGTAGCTTATTCGCCTTTATCGGATAAGCTGCTACACCGGTTTGGGCATCTCGTTTTCGCCAAAGTGCCCTGGGCTGCGACGATGAATGCGAGATCATGAGGGCTTCGCATATATAAAGGGCCTCTATGGTCCATATCGCAATCTCAATATCTTAGACGACATCGTGATAATCCAAAGGCTGCTGCAAGTCGAGTCATCAAATTTCCCTTACTCCTGTCTTGTACCAATTCCTATCAGAAACGAGTGCCTCACCATAGACAGCATCATCATGCTAGAAGCGAGATCACCACACCGTAAGTCCAGTTCGACCATTCGTCAGTATGGCCACCACCACCTCTAACATTATGTAGAAGAAGGAAGCTACTGGTATTATGCACCAAATAAGGGTGCTCCTATTGCCTTCGCATTGCTTTTTGCTGCGTCCGGTCTCACGCACATCTACCAGTGTTGGTATGACATAGCTGCCTCCAAGATGAAATGTCAAGCACTGATCTCTCGGCCACAGCAAATACAAATCGTGGAAGGTGACAGGCTTGCTGCCATGGTCCGCTACACTCTTCACAGCAGGGTTCATTATGCGGGCCATTGGCGCTTTCGGTCAATGGGACGATTTAGGCATATTCATCGCGAGTAATGTTCTCTTGCTGGTGGGACCGTAGGTTTTCTGTCTATTGTGCATTGTTCTCGCTCGCGATGCCTGACTCTCTTATAGCCCTGTCTACGAAGGAGCCAACTTCTTCACCCTGGGTCGCATTCTTTACTATGTCCCCTACCACTCGCCAATTCACCCCGGCCGAGTATTTTCAACCTTTGTTGCCCTGGGAATTTTGATCGAGGTGATTACAGCGAATGGGGCTGTTCTGGTGGCCAATTCAGACAATACTGTCAGCAAGCAGAATACTGGCAAAGCGCTGCTCAAGGCTGCACTGATTTTGCAGATTGCCTTGATGGTGGGATTTGTCGCCCTTGCAAGCAAATTCTACCTCAATTGTCGCCGTACAGGTGTCTTGAACAACAAGATCAAACGTCCCTTGTGTGTTCTGTTATGCAGCTGTACACTTATCACGGTGCGAACCATCTACCGAACGGTCGAGTACTTCACGACTGCGAGCCTCAACATTTACAACGTCTCGGATTTGAGTCCCATTCTGAAAGATGAATGGTTCTTCTGGGTGTTTGAGGCTGTTGTAATGTTCTCAAACACCACTTTACTCAATGTTCTCCATCCCATGCAATGGCTCCCACGCTCGAACAAGGTCTATCTCGCAAAGGATGGGGTGACAGAGATTGAAGGCCCAGGATTCGAAGACAGTCGACCCTTCCTACAGACCTTCATTGATCCTTTTGACTTGATCGGCCTCATCACAAACAAAGGGAGGAAAGAGAAGTACTGGGACGTTCTCGATGCGAACCAGAAAGAGTCATCGTCCCCTGCCCAAGTGTGAGACTTTCACACTCTCTTCTCTTTGCCTTTTTCACCCATTCTTTTCTATCTCTCTTTTTGTAATTATCTCTTTTTTGTGTAATACGTTGCACTTTTGTTTTTATATTCTTATGTGTCAGGTCAGCTGTTTGTCTAGACTATATATTGGGTGGAGTATATAGATCGCATGCTTTCACAATTTATTCCAAGGATCGTACTATTCGCAAGTTGAAGTATCTAAGCATAATCACATTTCAATCTAGATAGAAGGGAAATATACCAATCAAATTGTTTCAACTGAGGCCGATGGAAAATTAACAACCTGAGAGTGGCTGAAGGCGTGTTATCGATAACGAAGATGTTCTATCTCCCGCAAAGCCAAGGTAGCTTCGAACCACATGGCCTTTAGCTCAAACATTCACAGGTTGTCCGCTTTTCCCTTGCAATACCAGTTGAGCAACTGCCAACGATTGGTTGTCACTAACCTATTGTGCTTGATGGTAGACTCTGAACTTTCAAGGACATTCAATTTTGTCACTGATATCCCTGGCATTTAACACTGAGCTACCTGGCTTTGTCCTTCGCAGCATCTCCGAAGCGTCTTTGCCAAGCTCACCCTTCCCTCAGGCCATATACAACCGTCACCATGTTGTCTTTTTTATCGTCAAATCTGTCTAGCACGCGTCAATCTCTGGCGCAAGTCCTCAATTTCGCACTGGTTCTGTCCACAGCGTTTATGCTGTGGAAGGGCCTCTCCGTGTTCACGTCAGTACCAGGCTTGGAAGGACAGGGTTCAATAGACTAACTTCAGTTTGAATATTTACAGAGCGAGCTCGTCACCCATCGTCGTCGTGCTCTCCGGATCCATGGAGCCAGCCTTCCAGAGAGGCGACCTGTTATTCTTGTGGAACCGCAGCCCACGGGCAGAGCTAGGTGAAATCGTGGTCTACAACGTCCGGGGCAAGGACATCCCGATCGTGCATCGCGTCGTTAGAACTTTCCCTCAAATCGAAGGCAAAGCGAAGAAGGTCAAGGAGGTTACAGAGTGCGTTGTGGTTGTCCCCTTCTGTCTGCAGCGAACAATTACTGACCAGGCGGGTGTGTCATAGGACCTCCTCCGTTCCTCCCAACATGCTTCTCACCAAGGGAGACAACAACATTGCCGACGATACCGAGCTGTATGCGAAGAACCAGGACTTTCTACATCGCGAGGAGGATATTGTGGGCAGCGTGCGCGGGTATATGCCCATGGTGGGATATGTGACTATTATGCTCAGTGAGCACCCGTGGCTCAAGACGGTCCTGCTTGGTATTATGGGTTTGATGGTCATACTGCAACGGGAACAATAGTTTATGTTGGAAGTCTATCGAATAAATCGGCTTCTATTCACTAAGGTTGTTCGTGGCTGAACTACGACTGCAGCTGGCATCCTGTGTTGATTCCTCTGGCCTGAAAGCATGCGGCCGAAGACTACACTGCCGTCATGTAACGTGTCCTGTGCCGGGATTTCTGTAAGAACAGCCAGAGTGGCCGATATATGTGACTAGATCATCTACTGCGGACTGCATTTGCGCATCGTAAATTGCTGTAGTTTCTCGCCTTGTCAAGCAATTCAATCGGGCTCCTCAATAAAAGCATAGTTAGAAGAATTATACTGGCAAAGTTAGAAAGAATGATCCACCGGCTACTCTCCGGAACCAACTGTCGTCACTTCAGGTCAAAGAACGCCGATGCTAAATTCCACCCCGCTTACCCGTCACGGCCCCGCCTTGTGAGCTAGTTGGGGCTCAGGAGCTGTTACGCTGCACGCATATCACGAGCAGCTTCTTCCTGGGTACTCATCTTTGCTATCTACAATCAGGAACAGGATCCTCGCGCCAGCTTTATAGCCCTCTACTGTTCCACCGAAGTTTGTCCCAGTCTTGGTGAAGAGTCGCGAACATGGGTAGCCAGAAGCGGATAGCCAAGGTAGGTCAATGGTGCCTAGGTCGCCTTGAATTCTTTACGGTTGTATTTGTTTGCTAACGGGACTACTGGCGCTGCAGGAACTTGCCGAGCTTATAGAGTCTCCTCCCGCCGGCATCACCGTCGAGCTGGTGGACGAGTCGAACCTGTATGAATGGAAAGTCTACATGGAGGGACCAGAAGGCTCACCATACCACGTAAGTTACTACGCGATTGAATGTCGCTCCTGGCCCAAGATGCAGCGCTAACCATCGTCGACAAATCCACAGAAAGGCAAATTCCAAGTCAAGCTCGTCCTTCCCACCGAGTATCCCTTCAAACCGCCGACGGTGTCGTTCGCGACGAAAATCTACCATCCGAATGTCACCAATGACGACAAGGGGAGCATGTGTCTAGGCATGCTGCGGCCCGACGAATGGAAACCCAGCTCGCGGATCTCGGCTGTGCTGGAGTTTGCGCGCCAGTTGCTCAAAGAGCCCATGCCGGACGATGCAGTTGAAGGACGGATCGCGGAGCAGTACAAGAACGATCCCAAGCGGTACGAGGAGGTTGCCCGGGAGTGGACGAGGAAGCATGCATCGGAGTAAAAGGCGTGATTGGAAGAAGTGATGGCTGGTGCGCGGTCGTTGCGCGAGAATCAGGGACGCGGAAGAATCTCAGCGTCCTCCTGCATGTGAAAGTCTAAAGACTGGGTGTCCTATTGTCTGCGTGCGTCAGCACCCCGGTATCTCGACTGCGCTTGTCTTCTTACTGGCATTTTACGGTCGGGCTCGATGGACCCTTGTCCACACTTTCACTTCCCCTTCTCTACCGTCTTCCTCGGTCTGGGAGTGCACCCGAGCGCACTCAGAATATCCCTGCGTTGAAGGCCGGCGCTCCTATGTGTCGCACAAGCGTGTGAAGAGTACGAGTCATATTCTTTAGATACTACAGCCCTAGAGAATACAGAAGTCAGTCATAGATGACTAGGCA